TCAAGCCTCGAGCCCATCATTGCAACAACTGTCTCGAGTACGGGCACCGTACGCTGGCCTGCCCGGGCAACCAGTGACGCTGCCCCACGTGTTCCACCATGCACCCTGGCCCACCCGGACGAGTCTCATCCCTGCACACCCTGGTTTGCCTTGCTTCAACTCGCAGTGTGGTTCTCAAACAGGGCACTTGGTCCCGAATAAGCTGCTGCACCTTCACTCACTCCACGAGACGCATCCCTCAACCGTTCTAGCGGTATGTAAAGCGTGGATGCAGGATTCGGGTTATGACAGTCACATTGTCGATTGCTACACTGGAGCACTGCTTACAGAAAAGATTGTGCTAAGAACTGTGGAGGTGTGCTAGTCGTGGTACCTTTACCATTACCCTTTTTGGTGACGCCGCAACCTGAAGCTGGAACCTCCCACAAGCATGGCAAGGTGTTGCTATGCTGTGCATGATGCCCGGCTTCCGTGAAAGCTGAGTCCTATGATTTGCCCGGCGTGCCACTGGTGCTGATTAACACAAATTAATTAAATGTGTGCATACTAGAAGTCTTCCAGTTGAGTCGCTCAGAGTGTAGTGTACACCATGGAACCATTTCCAGTGGCCCAAACGCTCGACAGTTCAACGGGACAGTGTGCTCAGTGCAATTGTTCTCAACATGTTTATTAATCGTGATAATGCCTGCCTGATATCGACTCCCCTGCTGCTACGGATGACCAGAAATCACGAGGGTTCGCAGAACAACATCGACAAGGTCTACTATAAACAACCACCTATGCTTCTTCACATAGCATTTTAAGTAGTTTTGTCCAAAACATGCGGAACACTGGGTCTTTTACTTTGCGTATCCAGTCAATGAATGAATGAATTTGGAGTTTTCTGGCGCAGCAGCAGGCGTATCCAGTGGAACCGGCCATAGCACACTTAGGTGTTTTCCACAGCCCTGGTCCTGCCACACCTAAAGTATTGCAGCTCCATATGAGACTCCTATGAGGTTGATCTTGTAAGATCAGGTGAAAGTGTTCAGCAAAAGAAGGCAGCTTACGCTATTCTTCGGCAGCCAAGCTCTCTACGGATCACTCACTGCTCTGACATTGGCTGGAATTCTGGCCCTTCACTTGTGGGCCAGAGGTGACCTCAAGTGTGGCCCTTAAGTGGGTCATCTTATTCTGCCTCCTAGACAACGTTGTGGAACTGCAAGGTCACGTGACAGCACTGAAGGGAGTTGTTCGCCAGAATTGTGCCGGTGCCTTTCAACCGTTTCCTACCATAGAGCAACAACATTCCTTCTTGGTGTGGTCTTCACTGTTCTGGCAATCTCTCTTTGTGCACTCATGCAGAACCCCCCTAACAATCATCACAAGGTCGAAAACTTCTGTCGGCATGCAACTCGTCAGCTTCACCCTCAGTGAAGTGAAGTACCTATGTGCTTTACTGGGAATTATGAACTTTTACTTAATTTCTATTCGGTTTTTTCCATCGCCCCTTTTATCTGTTCCTTTTGCAGGGTACGGTAGAATTCTTGGTAGCCCTTGGCCTCTTTACTATAAGGAATTGCTTTTAGCAGGATTAAACGTTAAAAGCACATTTAACGCTTTTATCCTCTACTATAGTATGCATTGACACACAACTGTATGCAATTTTATTCTACCTATCACTGTAAACAATTTTCTCCCCATTTTACGGAAAAAGTTGCTGGTTCGATATAGCAACAAACGGGTTTTATGTCCGTTAACTAAGAAACGGACACAGAGTCCGTCAGAATTACGACAAAAGTGTTTGTAAAATTACGGAAATTTTTTAGTGTAGCTCGCGCTTGTAACTGTGAAAAACGAGAAAATGCTCGGGGAAAACTTTCGAACAGAGCAGCGAACCGCCTTTATGCCTTTAGAAAAATATGCATAGACGCTCTAAAGGGGTACAGAAACGAAATGACGTGACCGCGAGCTCTCCCTCTCTTTCTCTCGCTTCAAAGTCGGCCAGCGAGAAGCGGATTGCGTATCGCGCTCGTGGCGTTTATAATTCCTGCACTGCCAAGGGTACTGTAGTTTCGAGCGTTGCCGCTTTGTGGCGTCACCGCGTGACAATCTCGCCTAGTACTAATAACCGAGGATTGTTCGTTCTATCTTTTCCGTTACGTCAATCGAGCATTCAGTTCACCGTGTTAGTTTCACACTGCACAAGTAGTACCTCGAGGGAACTAGTAAGTAAAAATAACCGTTAATATCCAGCGGTGGCAACACATGCAATCTACGGGGGCCATATTTGAGGGCGCTATTGACAGCAAATCCGGTAGGGGGAGGGGGGAGGGGGGGGGGAGGCATGATTGGTTTGGCAGAGGTCACCGTGGCAGATGTATACCCGCATCCTCAGATCAAGCCCCTACCTAACGTCTGCAAAGAACTGCGATCTTGATGGTGTAGAATGCACGTTGCGGAAGCACTGTGGATGCTTTAACATGTACAGCGCAGTAACCTCATTATCGTTCTTCGCCAAGTCACATTCAGGTCTGAGTAATTCCACGAGCGAGCCATACTGCCACGAACTGGCGCTGCTTCTTAGGAACTCATGACGTGGCGGTATTCCAACGAAGCTTCAGAGACCACCACCAGACGCAATTTTGAAATCTGTTTATTTGTTTCAACATTAGTTTTCTTGACTTTCCTGCCGGCAGCCCGGACACACGAGTGCAGGCTAGTGTTTCTGGGTTGCCGGCACAACATAGACCACAGCTAAACAAAAGGATAAGCACTAAAATTTCGTTTCCGTCCCCAATTTAAGCACATATTAGATTACAGTTGTCATTCATGACCTTTTCTTGTCTTACCGAGATACCGACCTACTGAAACGGCCGTTGTAGGGCCTCCACAAAGACCTATGTTGGGGAGGACACATCAGAATCTAAGATGGCAATAACTTGACCTGCAATGATAATGATGAAGTGAAGAAAACGGAATAACAGGTTACAAAAACTGAACGTCGGTAATGGCGGCACCCATGCACAGCTGCTTTCAAGCGTCTATACGTATATATAGATGAAGAAGAACGGCCCCGGGGAGTCTCCATCTTTACAAGCTTGTTCCGTTTTATTCACAAAGGACTCGTTACAGCTACGAATGACTCAACATAGGATGCCTCTGACCTATAAGCGTGACACACGATAATCCCCAATGACATTTAGCCGAATATAATCTTGGGAACCTGCAAACCCCAGCACGCACAGCATAGAGCGCAACTCCGAGCGTGGCGCTTCCACGCGCGACGTGGCCAGAATCACGACCTCATCTACCGATCGCCCAAATATTGTTTGGCTTTCAGTGCCATATAAAGTTGCACCTGGCGCGTATATTTAGTGTTTGACTCAATATTTGACTTTTAACATGATGCTATATGGGCATTTTGTAATACGTGGTACGCTTCCGAGCATACATAGAAACACATATGCGCGCATATACACGTACGTACATATACGCGCGCACACACCGATATAAGCAAGAAATACACTCAACGCAAACGCATGCATATATATGAATAAAAATGGAACTGGGTTTCTGGGATGTTTCCAAGCAGACTACGTTGAAATGCGATAACATTCCTGCATTCTATGTAGGCTTGCTTCTCTCTCCTGAGCCAAACGTCGCTCTCTCTCCCCCGGCGCTTCTGGCAATGTCGAGCCAACCCGTCCTAGATGCTTCGGCTGTAGCGCCCCTCTCGTGACGTCGCAAATGAGGGCCGTCGGGGGCGCGCGTCGAAGCGCCGAAGAGAAGACAACGCGCGTGGATCGACCGTCGTAACAACGCGCTTTTAGTTACATAAGCGTGTCTTATTAGCTAAAATGAAAGCTGCACATGGCAACTGGGCTAGAAGACATTTTATTACGCGGGAAATATTACACCGTTCAATAATTGATATGAAATGGCACAAGGTATGCATACGAGACGCCTACACAAAAATGTGACTGTTTGAGGTCTAAAACATTGAGTCACGCAATTATTGGTGAAGGAATGCATATTTTATACATAAATACTTCGACAAAATGGCAAGAAACGCAGTGATTGGAGGCAGCAAAACTATAGTGCCTGGATCGCGTCTCCGACTGGTGTGTTTAGCGTCCTATCCCGCCCATACATCAAAAGTGGCCCCAATGTGGCAACAAATGCCGTCACAGAAGCCGGAGTTTCATGCTGTTGCCTGTCGCGATCCTGGCGGTTGGCCGTAGAAATGCTGGCGAAAAGCACGAGCGAACGTGAGTGTCGCTGTCGTCACGGCGTCCCAGGTGTAGAGTAGCAGTCGCGGTGCATAAGCGGTGTGCTACTACTGCGTGTAGAATGAACGAGGGGCAGCCATTTCCATTCCCTGGATTTATTCTTCCTCTTTCTCCTTTTCCCCGCTGCTATATGTGTTGCACGCGCACACATAAAATCAACATCACTACATCACTTCCCCCCAAGAAGCAGACAAATGGCCAGAACGAAAGGCCCATTAAGAGCAGACGTAGTCCTTGAGTCGTGCAGGAGGGCACCTGGTACGGATCGGTCGCGATGTTCCTGGTGGATCAGGGGCAGGGGCTTCAACAGATCGGTCTCTTTCGTCCTCCCCCCGAACGAGGCGTTGCTCGGTTTCTCGATCAGTCGGGTCTGGAAGCGTTCCCCTGCAGCCATCTTGAGAGAGGTGTACATTGAACCACGCGTTGTCCGAGTCACAGTCACCTTCGGATCCTTTGCTCGTGGTGGGGAGCATGCGTTTAAAAAAACTAGCGTTTCTCGTTATTATGGCGTGATCCCGCAGTGCCGTAATTTGCGTCCCCTTGACATCGATGACCTGGTATGGCTTGGGATCATAGGCAGGGGTCAGCTTGTTTCTTTGGTTTTGTTTAGAGAGAACTCGGTCTCCCACGGTGAGGTTGTGAGGCCGGGCGTGCCTACGTTTGTCAGCGTATATCTTGTGTTTTGTGCGATTTTGGAGATCTGTGTCTTGCCACTTCTGAGGTGGGTTGTCATTGGAGCAGCTTGGGAGAAGATATCCCATGGACCTGCCGAAAAGCACATAAAAAAGGTGGGGTTCCAGTTGCTGAATGGGGTGTTGCCCTGTAGGCCCTCAAGAATTCGCCCAGCTTGGAAGTCCAGCTATTGTTTTCCAGTGTTGTCGCTTGTATGAACCGGTTTAATGTTCGCATGAATCTCTCCACTTCCCCATTCGCTTGCGGCCAGTGCGGTGTAATACGCTGATGGTGGAATCCTAGCGTGTGGGCGAATCGCTTGAAGTCATGGCTCTGGAATGGGGGTCCGTTGTCCATTTTGATCACCTTTGGAATTCCGAAGATGCTGAAGATCTTGGTGATGCTATTGATGACGGATTGGCTGGTGAGCGATGACAATATCTTTACGACAGGATAGCGGGACGTGTCATCCATAAGGACCATCAGGTATTTGCCGTTTGGAAATGGACCGGCGAAGTCAAGTGAGAGGGCTTCCCAAGGCCGACTGGGCTTTTCTGGAATGGCGATGGGGTCGGCATGTTGGTACTGAATGGTCGCTTGGCACGGCATACAGGTTTTCAGATATGTTTGCACTTTAGTATCGAGATGAGGAAACCAGACCTTCTGCTTCATGAGCTTGGTTGTCTTGGTTATCCCTTGGTGCCCCACATGTGCAAGAGATATGGCTCGTTGCTGGAGAGCGGCGGGTAGAACGAGACGAGTACCTTTCAGCAGCAGGCCATTGTCTGCCACAGAGAGCTCGTGTTGTATTGACACAAAGTCCTTGAGAGCTGGGTTGCGCCATCTGGCAGGGCTCTTGAGGGCAGCGATCACCTCCTGTAGATGTTGGTCACTAGCCGTGGCCTCAACTACTTCTGCGCTAGTCATAGCTTTTGGAAGATGGCATTGAGCAATGAGGTTGACATACGCATCAGTGGCATAAGCCAGGTTGGCATCAGCGGGAAGGTCTGGCAAGGGATGGCGAGACAAGTAGTCCGAAGGGTTGCTGCTTCCACGCGTATGTTCCACTCTGAAGTTATATTGCTGAATTCTCAGAGCGAGACGCTCAAGGCGTGCCGAGGGAGAGGCTCTTCGATTGGTAAGGATTGACACGAGTGGTTTGTGGTCTGTGTGGAGAAGAAATGTGTTGCCATATAGGTACAGGTGAAAATGCTCAACTCCCCATACCACAGCAAGTAGTTCACGTTCAATTTGGGAGTATCGTGATTCCGTGGGGGTCAAAGCACGGCTAGCGTACGCGACAGTTTCAATGATATTGTCTGTCTTCTGTGCTAATATGGCACCGAGTCCAACAAAGGATGCGTCAACTGTAAGAATGATCTCTTTTGTGCCATAGAAAAATGCGAGATTATGTACTTCAGAGAGTTTTCCTTTCAAGTTGTCCAGGGAAGCCTGCTCTGTTGGTCCCCAGACCCACTTGTCAGTTTTCTTGGTGAGGAGCCGAAGGGGGTGTGTAAGGTGCGCGAGATTAGGAAGGAAGCGTCCGCTGTAGTTTACAGTACCAAGCAGACTTCGAACCTCATGCGCGTTAGTAGGAGCTTCCATTTCCCTAAGGGCTGCAATCTTTTGGGGATCCGCAGTAAAGCCAGAAGCGGAGAAGATGTGTCCAAAGAAGCACAGGCTCGTCTGTGCGAAGAGGCATTTCTTTGGGTTAACTGTGAGGCCCCATTCTTTCAACCTTACAAGTGTGGCCTCTACGGCCTGGTCGTGTTCTTGTTTTGTTTTACCAAACACTAGTATGTCGTCACTGATGTTGAGGACGTGAGGTATTCCATTAAGGACTTGGCGAATAGTTTCCTGAAAGACTTCGGCGGCCGCGTTAATGCCAAACATTAGGCGCTTGTATCGATAGAGCTTGGTGTGTGTCGCAAATGTCGTTATTATTCTTGATTCTTCGTCAAGTTCTAGCTGATGGTATCCATCCTTTAGGTCAAGTTTTGTAAATAACGTTGACCCATTCAGTGCGATGACCGAGTCGTCGAAGGTAGGGCAGACATGCCTCTCACGAAGTATGGCTCTGTTTGCGCATCTCATGTCGATGCATAATCGAATCTCGTCTGGGTTTTGCGGTTTTGGCACGATTACAACTGGAGAAACCCACGGGGTGGGTCCTGTTGCTTCTTCAATGATGTCCAAGGATACAAGCTGGCTGATTTTTTCTTCCACTTTGCTTCGCAGCGCAAAGGGTATTCTTCGGTGAGGTTGAGACACTGGAACGACTCCCCTGTCAACGTGAAGATGTACTTGGATGTTTTTTAGCTTGCCAATACCGGCACATAGCTCAGGAAAGGCCTTGAGTGGTGTCCCAAAGGAGCTCGAGGTAGCTTCAGCGCTCGGGCTCAGAGGTGCTGCTTGCTGGGACGAATCGACGGCGTACGTGATTTTGATGAGGCCCAGTCTGTTCGCAGCAGCGAAGCTTAACAATGACCTCATTGAACCCTCCATCACGAAAATGTCTTCTCTTATGCTGCTGTCCTTGTATGTCAGCGTGGCGCTTAGTTTGCCAAGGATGGGTAGAGGCGTGCTTGACCCATATGCGTAAATCCGAACTCCTGCTTGTTGTAGCTCAGCAGGTGTTCTTAGAGTTTCTAAGGTGCGAGTCCCGATGACTGACACTGAAGCACCTGTGTCGATTAGAAAGTGCACGAGGGTGTCGTTGATATCTACACAAGCTTGTGGAAGGCTACGGTTAGATATCTTCGAAACGGTTCCAATGGTGTAGATGTTCTCGTCAGAGTCAGAGTCACGTGACAGATGAAGTATGGGCTTGTGGGCTGACTGACAGACTTTTCTGAAATGGCCTTTTCTGCCACAAGCTCTGCAGGAAGACGACTTGGCAGGACAGTTTGCTTGTCCTCCCTCATGGGGCCAACTGCCACCACAGTGGAAGCACTGAGGACATGAGTCTTGACAGTGTTGCGCTCGGAGTTCTGGCTTCCGCCGAGGTGATGAAGTGTTTCTTGGTGTATAGCCTGCACGGTCTTGGCGAGGTTCTTTATCGAGATTGTGGACAGCGGCATCAGTTGATGTCTCCATGGCTGTTGTTGAGCGTTCGACATCTTCGAGGAGCCGAGCTTGTTTCAGAAGCGCTGCAAGGTCGAGGTCCTGTCTCAAAGCTGTCCGTCTCAGACGCGATGATGTTGTTGCAAATATGATTTGATTCTTGATTTCGAGATCGGGGTTAGCAAATCCGCAATTCCAAGCAAGGAGCCGAAGTCGGATTGAAAATTGACTCATGGACTCGCCATCGAGTTGCTTCGCCTGCCGAAATTGAAAGATTTCAAATGTACTGTTCATGTATGGGTTGAAGTAGGCGTCGAGCTTGTCTTTAAGATCCTTATACGTGCTCACGATTGTAGTGGTGCCTGATGAGGAATCAGCCACGACAGTCGCTGGCGTTTGGCCGGATGTTAAGTTACTCGGCAAGTCAGGGAGAGTCTCGGAGATTTCGTGAATTCGCTCCCCCGCATAGTGAAGTAGAAGGGCGCGTTTGCGTGCGTCATCTTTCACGTCACAAGCAATGATAAAGTTTTCGAATCTGGTTACCCACCGTCGCCATTCGGAGCCGATGTTAGCGGCGTCGGTGGCGTCCAAGTCGAACATGGGCAGAGGAGCCGGGATCAACGCCATTGTTGGTGGGAATGTAGGCCTAGCTTCGGAGCCGACACAGTTTGGTAGATCACTGGCTGGCTGTGAGTTCGTGCAAGGGAGTTACCCATCAGAACTGTAGCCGGAGACAGTCTGAAGCATCCTCGTCGCCATTGTAGAGTTGCAGTCGCGGTGCACAAGCGGTGTTTTACTACTGCGTGTAGAATGAACGAGGGGCAGCCATTTCCATTCCCTGGATTTATTCTTCCTCTTTCTCCTTTTCCCTGCTGCTCTATGTGTTCCACGCGCACACATAAAATCCACATCACTACACCAGGCGTCCCAACTTGCGGCTGCTCTAGCTTCCGTGAACTGTCCCTGTGGAGAGCGACCTGCAGCAGAATAGGCGCCTGCTATTTCTACCATAACTGTTAAGACGCCGCCAGGTTCGCGACCGGCGACAGCATGACACTTTGACGACGTCATCAGGCGGAAACCAAGGGACCACTTTTTTGGTCTCGGTAAACACACCAGTCGGAGTCGCGTCCCAGGACCATAGCAAAACGGACAACAGTTAAAAATCAGGTAGACGTAGCCAACATGGACACAGCGAGTCAGGTGTCACTGACAATCATGTCAAGTGATGATAATGCATGCAGTCACTGAATTCTCGCATTATACGCAGAACACATAGCAAAGTTAATAGAGAGTTTTGGAATAGGGGACGCCAACGTTTGGGGTTCCCCTAAGAAATTGGGGGTACCAAAACTCAACAAGGTTGGTGTCGACGGCCTAAAGAATAGGGCTTTCGCAACGCAGCGCGACGCGCTTACATTTCCCGCTTGTAGCGCCAATGCGGCTAACTAGCATAATAATAAAAAAAAACGGAAAACATGTGCGATTAGCATGTACCTTTTGTTTACAAATAATAGTTAAGGTAAATCCCAATCAAGCCGTCTAAAACGAGAGACTACCTAAAATCAGTATAAATGTTGTTGGCTGTATTCAGCCGAAACAATCCAATCCGCAGCACTCTAATTTGCCCCTGGATCTCGGATTTTTTCGGCGTTCGTGTGCGCTTTGACCGTCTGTCGCCGATGATTTAGGCCTTCAACTATGCCGAAACTGAGATGAACGCGAGCGAGCATACTCTGTGAGCAGCTGCTCTATTTAGATCTGAGCTGGAACGACTTTTAAGCCTTGGAATACTTTTCTTTTTTAAGCTGCAGGTATCATTCCAGGAACGAAATGCACTCGGAGCCACGGAGTAGCCCAGCAAGCTATCCGGTTACGGAGTAGCAATGCGTTGCCATGTCAGCGGTTACCGTGTCTCTTTAGGATTAGGAACGGCAAGAATCAGGGACGATCTTTAGAGTGGGGCGAGCCCACCGCTCATTCTTTGTGACTTTATTATTTATATTTATTATTATATTTAAAGTACCCCAGGACCCGAAGGCATTACAGAGAGGGAGAGCACACACATAAAACAAAGATAGTAATATAGTAACATGTCAACAATATTAAATATACAACAAACAAAGAAAAAAAAACAGGTCATAGGTCACTGCTAAAATAGTTAGTGATGGAATTTATAAACAGGTTACTATCAGTTATAGCAGCAATCAAACCGGGGAAGTGGTTCTATTCCTCGCCTGTGAGGGGGAAAAAAGAAGATTGAAATGTTGTGGTAAAAGAACTTGGAACTCCAACTTTATGCTGATGGTCAAGACGGGATGAAATGTAAAAAGGGGGAGTAATAATCTGACTGCGTAGGAGAGTATTATGAAAATACATTTTATGAAATAGACATAAGCGTGAAATTGTACGTCGCAAGGAGAAAGTGGTAAACATAAACTATTTTTCATCGCAGTGACACTAGCAGTACGATGGTAGTAGGAAAGAATGAAACGGGCTGATCTATTCTGAATGCATTCCAATGCAGTGACTAGAGCATCGTGACCGGGATCCCAGATGGAGGTTGCATGTTCTAATTTAGGCCTGATTAATGTTTTGTAGAGAATAAATTTTATTGAAATAGGTGCCAATGAAAAGTTCTGATTTAAGTAGCCCAAGATGCAGTTAGCACGTGTAGTAACATACTGAATATGGGTTTCCATGAAAGGTTATTTGTTAAGTGAATACCAAGGTTCTTGTACGTTGCAACTTGCTCCAAAAGGTTGCCATGTAGGTGGTAACAGGGCAACTGTTGTTAGGTCTGTGGGACGCTCTCATATGTTTGCAGTTACTAGTGTTTAGTTTCATTAGGCATAGTTCACACC